TAACAAATATTAAATAGCTATGTTTAAAAATGTTTCTGAGCAGCAAAATATAACGTGTAAATAATACATCGGTAAGATTAACAAACTGATTACAGGGATAAGTATAATGTGAATGAGACCAAAAGTGATTAACGTTGCGCACTTCAGATTTAGTCCTTGGAGAACCTAGATATAGTCGTTATAAGCAGAACACTTGCACTTGACACTAGCAAACACTTGGAAGATAGCCAAACAAACACATGGGTATTTATTATATACCAAAATACAATTCCATAATTCAATTGCCTTCCCTTGTGAGAATCTTATTGATTATGTTATAATATGTCATTATGATAAAATGTTAAGGAAAGTTTTTTGTACTATTTTATGAAAACACAGCAAATAACGTTAAAAGATTTGGAACATGAAACAATTTTCTTATATAAAACGAGTACACATTGAACAGAATTCAGACCTGTTGAGTATTGGCACAGGTAAGCAATTTTAAAGCGAGCAATTTGCTATGGGGATATATGGCGGCGCCTCACCGACGAAGATACATAGCTTCAATCTTGGGAGCGCTCTCAATAAACCTGACTGCGATCCGAAGAGGAATCTACCCCCATCCGAACATTACTGTTGAAATATTATGGTTCATATGAATAATATCATCGACAATGATAGAATGGTCTCATTTTAACGATATATTACTTTCGATTGCATTTTATCATGCAGACACCGTATAATTGATACTAAATTAAATAGTGACGCATCATGTAATTCGCGAGGTCTATAAATTATTAGTGAGAGAGATTAATTGTGTTGGATCCACCAAAATGGCGCCTTTAATTTTATCCGATTTAAGCAATTCATTTGTAAATAGGTAAGTTAACAAAAAATACAATATTAGTACAACATGCATATAAGTGGCCAGCAGTAATTATTTTCGTATCCAGATAGGTAGGCGGTGATAAAGTATTCGATATATGTTCACAAGTGTTTGCCATCGGGAACTGCCGCGTCCAGTAACGTAATAATCAAGATACCAAAGCCGATAACGATAAAACATCGATATTTTACTCTAAATATATAATTATTGAAAATATCTGCAATAGGGGATCGGGCATTTTTCTAAAAAGTGTTTTAAAATAATAATTATGAAAGCTTATTCCCAAAAAGAAAATTTTTTTATTTAAATAAACCTCACTATGCACTTAAAACTATGTTTACAAAAACGCGTTAATGGCGACTTGAAGGACGTGACGTCATTTGTGGGGTAAAAAAGTGGATTTTTGATGAAAAAAAATGAACTATCATCTTCAGTTCTAATATTTAAACTCGCAAATAAATAAAATAATAAACTGAGCCTTATAACCTGTTAAAAATCAAATAAATCATTAAAATTATTTTGTGTTTCGTTTCTCGCGTTTTTCCTAGACAGTTTTACTATCAACTACGTCACGCGATGCGATTGGTGTTTCATTTGACGTGGGACACAAACTAAAAATATATATTATTTATTGATTGAAAAATATAAATAATTGTCATTTAGCAATAATATTCGGCGAATAATTTTTAACTTCATAACCTTTTTAACCACGTGCAATTTATTATTTTATTTAATACGAGCTTAGATAGTAAACGAAAATACATACTTATTATTTTTTTGGTATTGTTTAATATACTATTACTGATATATCGATATCAACTTATATGTTAATTCATTAATATTGCTCCAAATAATTACGAAAAACAGAAACCGGAACGCGGCAAAGAGTCCGCCGGGTCCACTCAAATTAGACCCTATTACCAAGAGTCGCTTTTACCTTAGGTTGGTACATGCTTCTAGGCGATGAACTCACAGATCCTTTTCTGAAGTATTTGAAAAACCTATGTTTTATTTGTTTATAGAGTCCCTTACAGATGCAGCTAAAATTTTCACGAAAATAATGGTGGTTCTAAAATTTCGGCAACATAAAATGAGAAAATTACCCCTTAACAGCTTATTAAAAATAATCGTTACCATTTTACAAACAACTTTATTCATATCTAGTAAACAACAGGTCAGGTTATAGATGAAGATTAAGCCTTAATATAATGTTAGTTAAGTTCGAAATTGGTAGTAGAAATCCGGCATGTATGCTGTAGTTAACCATATTATGATGTGATGTGATCAGCAGGTAGGTATTTCGATATCATGAAATCGCCATCAACCAATACATCATACAATGATCGATACTACGATATGTTCACGGCAGCTGTGAGGTTTTAGCCTATTCCGATATTTTGTCCAACTCAGAATGGATATTTCGTTTCATTTAAGAAGATAAAAGCTAGTTTTTAACAAAACTTGTTTACTTATCTGACACTTATTATAGATACTGCTCAGCTAAATCCTTAAATTTAATACGATACCAAAATGACACAAAAAGTAAAATCGATCGATATCGTTCGTTAAACAGACGTGACACAGATATCGCTAACAATATTGCATCCAAGGAATATTTTCGAGCTTGCTTGTCAACAACATTACTTACATTTGTGGCTTACTGACACGGCATCGAAATAGTTACCTTTCTAAATCCTTATTTTATTTAATAAATCTATTAATATTATAAATGTGAAAGTTTCTCTGTTCGGATGTTTGTCCGCTAATCACGCCGAAACTACTGATCGGATTTTGTTGAAATTTGGTATTAACTGACTTAGATAATAGGATAATTTCCCTAGGGACCACGCGGGCGAAGCCGCTGGCGAAAGCTAGTATTATACATATCAGTAAGAATATAAGAAGTATATAAACAATCTACTTATATAAATCTTAATAATTTTATGGAGGAAAAAGTTTGTAAGTTCAGATGTTGGTAACTTCTTCACACAAAAAGATATTTGATATACGGCTAATTAAGCTACTTTTATTCCGCTAAACAGTTCCCTAGGGAACTGGGTCCGGACGATGTCGCTGGCGGAAAGCTAGTTACTTATAAATCTATAAAGAAAGACTAGGATATTAGAGAGACAAATCTGTTGTTTAAAATTAATAAATGGGTCAAAAGCAATTGAGTAAAAATGAAATAAAACGTAATCGTTACTTTTACCAAAATATATCGACAATCACAAGTATTCACATTTTAGATAACTATATATTGTTTCTAGCTAACCGTAAGGCAGGTATGAACTTTTATGAGGTAAAATTCTTCGGAAAGTTAATTAATTAATATTTAGGAGCTGAATAACGTCCGTCGTCGAAACGGCGGCCATTTTACGAGGCCCCGTGGTAGTTTGCTCTACAGACTTAGAAACACTTCTAGAAACTTTTACGTTGCGTTGAGAGACCAATTAGAAATATAGCGGAGTTAAACATTTCTTAACTTTAATAAACTTACTGCATAAATATTCTCATACTTCGCTATGGCTCAAGATTCATTTCCATTATTCGAAAGGAATATGCAGGATGATGAAGATCTTTGTAACGCATATAATAGAACTGTTTATTACAAACGAGTAACACTGGAACATTATACAGACTTCGCTATTGAAAGTCAACTTTCATCTTTCGTAAATTGTAAACCAGCCTTGGAAAGTCTCGTAATCTTCTTACTCGGTATATCTGTCACAGCCGTATTGACTAGGTAAAGCACGGTTCAGCGCAGGAATCGGTGTATGAACGTGAGCAATGTTATATATTTCAAATTATGTTATATTTAACATTTTCATGTAAGTAAATTGTCTTTTTGTGTACGTGCATTGCATATGAATATACACTACATTTCAAGTGCGCACTCTCGTTTATCAGCCCTGCTTTTAAGAAGTTTGTTAAGCAAACATTAATAAACAAAAACGCATATCTGTATTATCTCATCATCTATCATAATTTGTAAATATTATTCAACCTATCGACTATAATTTAGTCTTATACAGTATCATAATAAATGCGTAAAATTTCGTTGGACAGCTTAATTCACTATAATAATTTTTATGACTCCACAGAAGCAGCTATAAACCTGTGCAAGGTTCGCAGAAACTGATGCTCGATGGAAGCGGAGAGTAACCGCTGAATGTGCGCCTATAAAACAGTACTTAGATCCATATCTGTAACAAGCTAACTCGAGGGCAAACACCGCTAAAATGTAGACTTGTGAAACAGATATATTATGCTGTACACAGATGTTGAAAAATAAAAAAAAAAAGTCTTGTTTGGTTCTAAACTTCATAATTTGGCTCACAAAACAAATGTTGAATTTTGTAAAAGTATATTACAGAATCTTATTTATGAATAGATACGGCAAAAAAATATGAGTTTTGAATATTTCATATAAGCTTATCAACATATTACTTTTAACGAAAATTCAAATATAACTATATAAAATATTCTGAGAATTTGAAAGTCTTTATACCCTTGCCTATAATAGTTCAATACTGGCACGCAAATTAATTATTAAGGATTACGTGGCGTGCAACCGGTAACTGAAACCGTGTGAAAGCAGCTCAGCTGAATTAATCAGCGCGACAAACTCAATGGGTGTTCCCATTCCGTAACATAAAGCAGCCGTCGGTCGCGTACACTTGATAATGGCCTTCTCAAAACAAACACTCGCAACTATCAACTAATACATGTATCTTGTATTTTATCACCAAAACAACCGTCTAAATGAAGAACCGACAATGATTTATAAGATCTATCTCGCATAAATCACCGATGGTGTATCTAATACTCTCGCCCGGTAACAAACTTCGCAAATTATGTACGAGTCCGCATAGACAATTGCTGCACTGGCAAATTATTACAGTTGCTTACGAATATATGTGTGTACCGAGCACGGTGATCAATAAACAAATACAAGCATGTCGTGTGCATACAGTGTTGGGGATACACGGCGGTGAAATGACATGGTGTTCATCCGAGCGTATAGGAGACCATGACCTTTGTCACTCACGTTTAGTCGACTAATGTCCATAAAGACCTCGAATTTCGAGTTTGAAAGGCGGTGGCGGTGGCGGCGACGCCGGCACTGCTCGGTAGTCGGTCTCGAATCGCCGTCGCGTATCCACGTGCCATCCGGAACCTTTCTATTCATCTCCCGACACGGAAAAGTTACTAGTGTTATTAGAGTTGTGTATCTGTACGGTGTTGATATGTGACTGAGCCGTCGTTATGGTGAGGACGCGAAGCACCAGTGGCGGCGTGCCCGAGGTAAATATTGACAATGACCGTCGAGGTACAGATGCGGAATATCCACGAGTGGGCGTCGATGTTTGCATAGTCCTCCGTTTAATTCTCGGTCATACCACGAACCACTTACGATGTTTATAGAGCGATCAGCGATCGATTAGGTGTAAAATTTTATTAAATGCACCTGCGAAGTGGTCACCGCTTGTAATTAATATCGAGAAATGTAATAAAAACAGAACTCACGCAAACTGAAACACGTTACGTTTTCAATGGCTGAATAAAGTTAATTAAAAGTATATTCTGTAGTACATGCGGTTTTTGCTCGCAAAAGGCACAGAGTTTAAAGAATATGAATTAGAGTAATATTTTATATGTATGCATCTGGATTTCTTACGTAAGTCTGTGGAGGAGCCCGCCTCCACTTATGTAACTGCCCGATACGGCCGGTTCTATACCTTCAGAATTCAATTTTAAGATAATATTGGATTTGTTATCCAATGAAGTACTCGTTGGCGACGACTTTATTGTAAAAATTATAAAAATGTTTCCTTAAGTTATCCCACAGACCTTGTGACTTCAGATTTCCGCAAAAGAAAATCTTTTGTAATGTGAATCGTTGAACGAAATTGATTCATTTAAGGTAGGTCAAGAGTCTCCCCGAATTTAAGATATCTATTCGTTTGAACATCGTCGATATATGCAAACTTAATTCTTGCAGAAAGAAAAGTGTTTTGTATTTCCTCTGGCAGCAATTGCGAGTGTTAGTTTAGTGGCCAACATGCACCCCGCGACAGATGTTGCATACGAGCTAATGGACTCTAATGCAATCGCCGCGCCCTTGATTACACTCCCAGCTGCATTATCAATGAACATAAATATGCGATTCAATTCATTCCACGAAATTCATTCAACGTAATACATATGTAAAAGATATACGTGGTATCGAAAAATTTCTACAAACTAAAATAGCACAATCACAATGTCGTGACAAACTTAACAAATTAAATATTATTGAGGTAAATGTAGTGATAAAATAGAAACAAAAAATATAAATTTTTCATTTTATACATGTGTTAATTTTAAATAACACGGAAATAATATTCAACGCCATCCGATTACATCTCCAACTGACCTGCCGTATCCCAAATAGACACTTGAGAATTTCATATCCACCGAGAGCTTTTGTAACCACTAAAGCAGAATATTAACATGTAGACCGCCGTAAATTGTCGATACGGGTATACTAAAACGCGAAACATCGTAAACTAAGGAGATATGCGGTAGTAAATTGTTCATCTCTGGTTGTGTATATTAAGGAGTCAAGGGCGAGTGATAGCATTCCGACGACTATAACAAGATAACACTGCCAATTTACGTGACTAATAAAAACTCCATACACATGGCTCCCACGTCCATCAGGAGCATGTGTCACGAAACGGGTCGAATACTACATCTCCTCCTCACGTAATATCAGACAAAGGTCCTTCAACAGATTAGCTTTCTGTTGGGCCAACACGTGACTCACGTAATAGATCCACGTACGCAAAGTTTATTTGACATAGCTGATGACACATAAGATAGGTAGACTGTCAATGTTTTCGGTCACGCGAATATGTTACCGTATTGTATCAAGATCGGAACAATATAATTCAACACAATGATCAAACAATTAACAAGAAGGGAGATATATCAGACACCTGATTAAAAACATTAGTTTACCCTTAAAACAATTATGTAGTATTTTACTGGAATAAAGTTTAGACGGTAATACTTATAGAAACATTTGGGTTAAGTTACATTTAAGATAATGGAGATCTAACTCAGCCATAAGGGTCCGACAGTGATAACTTTAAAAGTGACAGAGAACGTGTTGAGGACGAGATTGGAGCCGCCAGATAATCGCAACTGGAATCAATCCCATTGTGTAGACGGAGGAACAAACTTCACAGTTTGTGGAAACCCGAATTCCACAGACTCGAAATAGCTCTAGAGTTCTTGCGAACAAGAACAAACAGTCATTTTGTTAACTTTCAATGTAACTCGGAGACGAGAAGAAATTTAATTCAAGATGGGAACTAAGAAAACATTTAACTTTCAACTTCCCGGTGCACATAGGTACTTTTTTTAAGAAAGGTAACAAATTTTTAACATTTTCCAAAAAAATGAATATATGAAAAAAATTAATGTACAGTGTTATTTTTCTTGTATAAATATGTTTACATTTAAATCTTACAAGTTTCTGATTAAATATTATTATATAATGTAGATTTCAGTATAGTAAGTACAAAATGAAATCATCGACGTGATTAAATCAGATCGAGAGACGTCTGTAAAAGAAAGCGAAAGGAACGTCGAAACTACAGAACTGAAATTACTAATTCATTGTTCAATCCATAGTACATATAATTTTGTCGATTATGCAAATAGTTTGTAAATTAGGAAAGCAGCCCGGCTACTTTTTTGAGTATAAGACAATACATATAAGCCTTATCTATGATATAAAAGCGTAACCTACTACGTAAAATAGACGTCATCAACAAAATTCGTAAAACCTAAGCAACAATTTTCCGCGATATTAAATATATACACACCATTTTTGAATAATAATTTTATACCATCTCCTGATTCAACACACAACCATAATTCCTATTTATAAAAGAAATCAAGATATCATTCGGGAGTTAACTCAATTTATTTCTATCCCGCGAGAAACATACGCATAAGTGCCAAATTGGTTTATACCGAATCTTGACGGAAATAAAAGGAAAAGTTATATTGACACATGACACGTTTTGAGAAAACTGCGTCCTATGAGGCGCCATGAGTATCAAGATTTATTATCAGATATCTGAGACCCTGGTAGAAGTTCTCAAATAGTGAATATGTAATTCGAATGGTGCGCAATTATAATATAACATGACTTTAATAGTCATACGGTCGGTTGCAGGAACGTCCATTAAGGTTTCATGCCGCCTTTCAAGCTATAATGAATGTCAAATTTGTATGGGTAATGTCGCTTTATACTAACGACAATTTTAATGGACGTTTCTCAAACTTGCTGATAATACAGTAAACAGTGAAATATCCTCTTGGACTTAGACAATAATATAATCTTATAAGTATGAGTACTAATCAAAACACCCCTGATAGCAATTGATAGCATGTTAATCAAATGAAAATTATTTCCTGGAATTTCGTTTCAGTAAAAATACACACAAAAACATTGGATCACTGAAATTATATATAAAAATTAAAAACATTTAAAAATGAAATATAAACATATATAAAATCACAAACTCTGGAGTATAGTTCAAAATCACAATGCAATAACCAACATAGAATCCTTAACTTACAGTTGTTTTTGATGTACTTTATTGTCTTCCTGTTGTAGTGATATAATAAACACACTATCTATCTACATACACTATGTGTTATGATAACTTAGTATGATCGGAGTAGTAATAATATCGTTGATAATGTCCCCAAATCTGTATCTCTTGATATTGAATAGAGAATTTCATTAGTTATCTAAACATGAACACCTGTCATATTACCTTACTATTATTATTTTAAGAATTGAAATTATTTTTTTGAACTCTTAACAAGTATAATCAACCATATAATTTTCTTTTTCATTATTCTTAAGCAAAACTTATTAATGTATCTGACATTTGCTAAATTTCTATAATCTTAAGACACGACGGAGCCCCAGGCAATATTTGCCGTTGGAAATGAACACGGGATAGCGATAGCGACGTATATTGTGCTGAGATAAAAAATACTGTATCCAAGAAATACAATTCATTTGTAACGATGTAATCATAGTGAATCTCCCGAATAAGCGGCTCTACTAATCAATTGTGGGTTTTAGTAAAGAGTACCGCTACGGTCCAGCGTGTGACCAATCAAGAGTAATTATACGGGTTTTAAATTAAAACTTATTACTTGGTAGATAACTGGTGTCAAACCGTTGATAACAAATTAATATGAAACAGGAAAATCTTAAATTACACAAGTCCATGATCTAAGGTAAAAATAAATATTTACAAAAAAAAAAATACTTTGATAAACCGTTGTGGTTTAGTTTATTAATAACATGAAGTCCATTATCCAAACGTTATTTCATTTTAATAGTATAGTATTTAATAGCATTTTAACAATATGGTATCCCATCTCTGTCCGTCCGTTTACTACAATGACGACAAATAATAAAAAAAAGATAATTAGTTTTCATATTATTATGGTTCATTATCACCAGTTTTGTTGATTAGTTCAACAGCTAAACTAATGACCTTTACAACTGTCCGCCTAATACGATATAGATCGATAGATCTTGTACTCTATTTAAAAATAGGACGGATGAGAAAAAATAGTGTAATTGACGTTTTTCAGAAAAGTTGTAACTTTTCAATGTCGTGTTATAGAAACACTGCAAGTTGCATACCATAGGTTATACCTCATGGTTATCACAAAGCCATCTTAGTTAACAACGGGCACAATGACGTGCTCCTCATACCGAACCGGATTGCGACAGACGGTCTAGCGTACTATGTGCATCGATTAGAAAATGTATATGTTGATTTAGTATAAATATTGACGAACGTACGATGACAACATCGTCGGTTACATTGTACCAATGACTCCGTAAGTGGCATTTGAGTTATGATGATCAGTTACAATGAAGGTTCCACGCGTCCAGACTGGAGACAGACAGGAGATATAATAAACAAGTATTGTTGTATCATTGGCCTATCCACTTCAAATCTGAGAGATTCCTGTTACCGACCAATCATCCTTTGAATGAATGTCGTAATTACTAGATACTAACTTTAACTCGCTGATATATCGCGTTTATTAAGGGGGTATTGTTGATATTTTAGATATAATAGCTTTCAGAATCCCCTCTTAATAAAAATATTACGGCAATATTAATGAAATTCTGTTAAATTGAGAAAATTAGAACAACAATAATAATATTTTTTATCACAATCTGCCCAGCGGTTTGTACGTATGTGAAATAA